TGGGCGCTGCTGCACAACTACCAGTACCGCACGTGCTTCGAGGCCGCGGCGCTGCTGCACGCCGCCAGCGCCGCGGCCTTCCTGCTCGCCTCCTTCACCACACGCACGCACTAGACTGTCCGCTTCACTCACATGTATTTAGGTCAACTATCCTCATCATACGTAGCTCTGCTTTGTCCGTTATCTTTATACGAACATACGTTTGTTGTATTAATTAATTTGATTTATCTTTTTTTTTTTCAAATATATTTCATTGCACATTCCCGCCAAACCACTATTGTGGTTTATAGGTTTGTTATATTCCTAAAGTGGGTTTATATAATACGGCAATACATTAAGAATTTCCGAGGTGGAACCCACGAATAAAACTCCACCGATATTTTAGTAGTCGTTGTGTTACATTGTTCAGTACATTAAAACGGCACACGCCGGCTGAGGCCGTGGCGACGGAATTGACGAGGAGCGCGATGAACTCAAAAGTTCAAAAGTATGACATTAATCATATCTAATTATAAAAGTGGCATAGAAATAAAACAAACGTCAGTTTTATTAGTTTTTCTATAATAAGAGATCATTACATTTACAATTAACATGTATTTAGCAGTGTAGTGGTAGAGTGGAGACACACATGTGCCGCCGCGCCGCGCCGCGCACACTATGTTGACATGGGTGTTCAGACGCGGCTGCGACATCAGACAAACTTGCCTTCTTCTGACAATAGAACGCTGTGCAACTTATAATTAACTAACTGACGCACTCACAGTCTACACTAGTGGTGACTAGTGGTCACTGACGAAGTCCCTCAGTGCATGCTTAGTACAGATTGAGGAGATGTCGATTTGGTAATAAATAATATGTTTTGAGAAATGCATTTATACCAGCAAGTGACAGAGTTATATGATTAAACAACATGAATGATAAGTTATAAATTAATACAAAGCTCAAAGCTCATTTTCATTAAGCTAATTTATATCTTATAATAGCGGCTCGTTTAATATCATGAGCGCGCGCACACCTTTCACTAAACTATCGCACAACTGTGTGCGACTGTCGATTGTATCACAGCACGCACCTCCATATAAGCTCATAGAAATCAAAGCGAGACTAAACAGTTGTGCCATAGTTTAGTGAAAGGTGTCCGCGCGCTCTTTGTCTTAGATGTAATCATAGTAATAATTTATTGAATATACATTTTTATTTTATAAATGAAAAATTATATGATATACAATATTTTATATGTTTTACATTTAAATAAATAAAATTCGTTGAATTAAACCAACAATTTAAATAACTCCCTCGCAGCCGGACTGCGCATTGCAGTTGCCGTGCGACAGTATAACATGAAGCCAAACAATGTTTTTTACTCTGAAACTAAACAACTAATAAAGAAAAGAAGCAAATAATAATTTGCTCTGATTCAGTGAATTTATTAGTTGTGAAAACTTCCGGCATATCACTAATTCTTGAATGTAATACATAAGTACAATATACCTAATGTTTTATAAAAGTTTTACACAAAATACAGTTAATTATCCTGCGACTTACTTGCGAGTACTTGCGAGTACTTGCGAGTACCAAAGTACATTGCTATATTTACTGATTGTCCTATACAAAGAGTTCCTTCTCACACTCCACACGTTACCCTGACAAAATACTCACTTGGGAGTGACATTATTATTCGATTTTGTTACCTCCGTGTCGATTCCACCTCCGCCTCCGCCTCCGCCT